TTGAGGATGTCAACCACATGGGGAGAGTTCAGGATGGCAGGTCTTTGTGCACAACAGTTTACAGGCACTCTAGGTTAATCAATAGAATGAGAGTAAACCATGAGTATCGTTGAAACTTTCAGTTCCACTTTCACTTGTTTACCGCATGCATCTCAGAGCAGCAAACGTTTCGGATACAATCTGTGCGCACAGGTCTGATAACTATCCGGAAGATGATATCCTTCGCAACCTTTATTATTTTGAAATAGCGGTTCAGAGAGAAGAATATTCAGTCTAGCACAATAAGAAACGTAGACCGTCACTGCACTAATATCACTTTACACCTGCGATAAATCGAAACACTCCTCAGTAATAAGAAGATAAATAAAGATAAAAATAGATGTATCACTTTATATATTTCAGAAAGATCTGTCCATATTTGCATGAATAATGTAAAGTCATCTCTGCTGAGATAATTTAGAAAAAGACCTTACACCCATACCTGATAGCTCACTATAAAATATGCTAGGTTCTGATGTACTACGTACCATCGAGTCGCACCGAAGTCAGACACATAACTCAGACTAGTCGATCGGGGCCAACTAATTTACTAAGGCATAGGAACTTGGACCACTTCATTATGGTAAGAGTTACTAAGATTAGGAATCACAAAAACTTCATCTTTGTACCGCATGAAGCATTTATACATCATAGTGAGACAAGGTTTATTTACGCAGTACCAACAAACGTAGGTTGATGAGGTGGGAAATCGATTACTGAAGCTTCTTTCACCTAATAAAAACCCAATACATGAGGCGGGAACGCGAAAACACCTTCCATGTATGTGCACAATCCTATTATCACTAAAAACAAGGAATACATGTTGTTAGAAATAAAAATACATAATTTGGAAACTGAGATTACTTTCATATAATTACAAGCGGAAATGTGTGTCTTAAATTTCACTCTTAAGTGATGCTGTATCTCTGCTTGCAAAAAAGAATAAAAAGTTTATATAATTTATTATAGTATGCAGTATTATCTCTGGATCCTTCAAAGAAACCTTAAATCTCCTGAGTAAATTTAAAGCTTTTAAAACACAATGTTTTCTTGTATTTTGGTATGTGGTTGGCTAATGAGACCTAATTGATTACAAATACCTTTTTTGAAACGTATGGAAATAACCAAGGCTAGTGTCAACAAAAATAATGCTGCTGTAACAGTAAACATAATGGTGGTTGAGGTGATGGCAGTTTTATAGAGGACAACATGACAGTATGAACGGGTATTAGAAAAGATGTTAAGTAGGTCAAGGAATGAGAAAAACATTAAGGGTGTGTAATGCTAAATTATCAAGGTAGAGGATAAACTGGTTGGCACATAAATATAATAGGTGTATTTTTCTAACTGTTTCATAGCTCCACTCTATTGGGATTTAATTTTGCTTTTCACTGGTTTGATCTTTTACAATCACGTAACCAAAATATCCTTTCTGAAGTCCGAATAGCCCAGTGGAAACGTTAGTCGGTTGGAGGCAATCGGCAGGAAGCCCTGGACCTAGGTTTCCTGCTTTTCGGCACTCGTCAGTGGTAACGTCTCTGACCGCAACACTGGGTGACACAAGTTCGAATTCTAGGCCGGACACCAGTCCCGTTTGGTTGCAGATATGCCTTTCTGATGAGTGCTGAAAAGCATGAGACCTAGGTTTAAGCTTCCTGTCGATTGCTTTCATCCAACTAATATCTGGCCAACTTTGTCTGAACACTTGTTTAAGTTGTCAAATCGTTCTCTATATTCTCATCATCACTTACATCGTAAGTGTTTTTGTCATTCTGTGATTTCAAAATTCGGGCATTTGTCATCGTTGACTAATAAATCACCCTAATAGGTTCACATTTGTTACATGAATGTATAAATCCATGAAGATTGGAGTAATATCAAAATAGATCCGACCGGAATAATTCTGTTTGCTTACATTTCCAATTCAAGTTATATCAGAATTACTTTCTAGCACAGCTTCACTCTGACAACGCATCTTTATGGCCGACTGTGTTATGCTAAAAATTTCATCTATTTTATCATGCAAATGCGACAACTAGCGACTCATCACAATATCTGTTTTGCTTTCTTGACTGCCATTTACACTACTCTTAATTGTCAATGAAACCTTTCAACAGTAGCATTGATAACAGGATGGGAGGAGGTTATTCGTACAAGGTGAATCCCATCACTTCGATTTGTAAACTGGATAAACACCTTTGAATATCAGCACCTTTACTTTTAAAAATTGTAACAGGATACTAAGAAGTGCGTAATTAACGATATTTTGCAACATTTGCGGCAAATATCCATGTTATAGCTACCACTACTGGCAGATTTTTTTATCCGTTTACGTAAAGTATAAGTGAGGTGATTGGATGCGCCTATTGGTTCAACATTATCAACAAATATGGGGATGAATAAATATTTGGGCATCAAAAGTTCGTCAGCATATGTGAGAGCATTCAACTACATTGCTTGCTCACTGAAGAGTAATCACTTTCATATTATCTATTTCTGAGTGCCGAGCAAATTCTATCGATTACTCTGAAATATGTTCAACATTCTACAAGACTCACCACCACTGTGATTGGTATTATTTGGTTCGAGAAAACATCCAGGAAGCTAATGACTACATTTCCAACTTCTAGTATGGTAATTTTATGATTTATGTGAGATACCGCGGTCCATGTTTGGATAAATATACCGGTATTTGATTAGTCTAACCTCGCCTGGTTAACTAGTTCACTAGTTACTAGCCGGTCTTAAGCCCGGGTAAAGAGGGAAGGTTGGGCATAGAGCTAGCAACCCTACCCCGTAAAACAAATCTAACCGCTAAAGAAACTTCACAGCTCAAACAAAAAAAATTATTCCTCGCTGGAATCGGAGAGGCAAAATGATGCCATTTGGTGAAAGCCTTCGGGAAGCCAATTAGCCGGCCGATGTGTCTTTTCTCGATGAAAGCGAAAGTAAATGTGGGGACAGGAGTGAAACAAGGTTGCCTACTATCACCCATGATATTCCTGATTGTGGTCGACTGGATCATGCAACAAACAGTTGGGAGAGAGAAGAGGGGGGAAGGCTGGACCGCGGAAAAGAACCTAGAAGATCTGGATTTCGCCGATGACTTGTGTCTGAAGTCGCACAAACTTGAAGATCTACAGGCGAAAACTAACAAGTTGGCAGAAGAGGCAGGGCAGCGAAGACAGGACTCCAAGTGAGTATAGAGAAGACAGAGGTGATGAAGATACCGCATCACCAACAACAACAAACTCCAAACACCATCAACGGGAGAAACTTAAAGGAAGTAACCTCCTTCACCTATCTAGGCAGCACTGTTTCAACTACAGGCGGCACTGACGAGGATGTCAAAGTCAGAACCGGAAAGACAGCAAGACAGGCCTTTATTTGCTTGAAACCAGTGTGGAGATCTTCTGCACTCAGCATGTGGAATAAGATCCGGATTTTCAACACCAACGTCAAATCAGTGCTTCTGTACGGCTCAGAGACTTGGCGCGTTACGAAACGTATTTCCAACAAACTACAAACATTCATCAACAACTGTCTACGCTGTCTCGTTACTGAAGATCAGATGGCCAGAATAGTAAGAATAAGCAACAAGGAACTCTGGTCTGGCAACGAACCAACCAAGAAGCTATCACCCAACAAATATGCAGAAGGAAGTGGAGATGGATTGGGCGAACACTGAGAAGGCCGACTGGGGGACATCACGCGTCAGGCCCTCGAGTGGAATCCCCATGAGAAGCGACTAGTTGGACGTTTGAGGGTGACATAGAGATCGTGCGAGGAGGAAATGAGAGCTTGTGGGCTGTCGTGGAGTCAGGTTCAAAAGATTTCAGAGAACAGAGCGCATTGGAGACGTGCTAGTGAAGCCTTATGTTCCATTAGGAACCCAAGGGACAAATAATAATAATTGATGAGTTTGAGAAAACGGTATGTGTGCAAACACCAGATACTTAACACTTATTTTATAGGAAGCGCTATGAAAACTCATGATTCAACGAAATGAGGAACAGTTTCAGCTGCCTTGATTTATTATCATAAAATAATATGCATCAGTAAAATAAGAAAATATATCTGAAATGCTTAATCATTACTTGATCATTATTCTTCAGGGCTTTTGGCCTGTAAATACAATAAAGTCAGGGCCTATAAACGTGTATCTGAAATACTTGACAGATAGATAATAGTCTGTAACTGTCTTTCGAAAGTGCTCTCCGGCTCAGTTAAGATTATAAAATGGCAAAATCCATTGAAACAAACATATGATAGTGTTCTTTCAAAGGGTACATGTTTTAGAATGAGCTAAACACCTTTAGCATTTACGTAATGTCAAGACTTTTAAGAACAATCTTTTGAAACTACACTCTTCAGAAGTGATCCTTATTAAAACTGTTGAAGAGGTGTCATGAAGTGTTTGATGTGCCCTGTCTCTGGTGTGTTATGTACTCCAAGATGATCTGTAGTAGTACTGAAGCGTAATAACTCCTTAAAGAATTAATGCATCAACCATTTTGCTGAAAAGGTGGGAAAAGTATAAATTGAAGTTACTAAAAGGCTGCAATAGACCTATTTCACAGTTATCAGTGTGTTCTTTAAATATATATGATGAACAATCCATACTTGGCGAATATTTTACTTTTATGAATGATATTAAAATGTCATGTGTATGCAATTTAGGATATTCATCATCTCCCGCCAAAACCCTTTTCAAAATATAGATCTTTAGAAGGGTAATAGTTATGAGCTTTCCGATTCACGCGTGATGTCACTTTCTTGAAAATCGGTTTCAGAAGAATGAAGTTGTAACCTTTGGTGCTATTCTTTTAACCATTTCCAAGGGTCCTACAAATACGTGTTTTTTTTTAAATTTAAATAACAAAGCTTTATACAAAAAAGAAACTGAAGTACTAAGATGATCAGTTTTTAAACAGTATGTATGCATATCTGTAGATTGTTTATCATGAAAATTTTCGACTTGTGTTTGTTTGATATAAATGTTTTGATTCACCATTTATGGATTGTCCGATTGATCCAGATTCATCAGCAAAACTTTCCACTTGTTGACGTGTTAATACTAAATTTACAGTATCACCTGCATTACGAAGTACGCGAACAGCTTCTTCATGCGTAGCATGACTTAGATCAATTCCATTTACCTGTGAATTTGAAATATTGTAAGATCCGGGTAGAGTCTATCAAGGTAAAATCTTTTATTATTTCATTCGTAAAACAAGTGATTTAGCTACAAATCAGTAATAGATAGAACTACGTTTTTGTGAGATGTCATTGTAAGATCAGTAAAAATTACGTCGCTGTTATGAAATCAACCACCGTGTGGCAATGAATACATTGGACTGTGTATTTGAAATGCAAAATTCATTGAAAGCAAAGATATTTAATGCATCATCTTCGTTTTAAAAAGGTGGCTATAATTTAATTCGAGCTTATTGTTGAATAGATTTTAAACACTTAAGACTCACAAAGAATACTGGATTTTTGAATTCACAAGACGGAAGTGAACCAGTATTTCCACATTTATTGAACTGGTGAACACTGAGATGAAGAATGAATGCTACACAAAGGAAAATGCTTAACATGATGAGAAAGATGAATGCGAATTCAATCCTTCTGTTATGTGAACTACAATTCTCTCAGTGAAATAAAATAAATGCACCCAGAACAGAAATGATATAAACAGATTTAATGTGACTAAATTGCAACCATAATCCCGTAGATATGCTTATAGATTCATATGCATAAATGCAGATGAGAAGGACTAATATTATAAACTAATGTTCACTGAGAGCACATTTTCCGCTTTCTGGTATGTTTTTTGTTCTTAAAAGAACAGAACTATCATGAAGTATTTAAAACATATGACAAAGATATTCGAATAAGATTACCTGTGTATGTCTATGAGACAGAATCAAGGTAATACTCTTTGAAAAAACCAATACATTATGGATAAATTACTACTTTGTATCGGAGTATTTAGATGATGGTGTCTCTGACTACTGAAATTTATTTTATAGAGAAGTCTGTAGTTACTGAGTAAAATACTCATAACAGTAGAAATCAGTGACAAACAATCGACATTTTAGCGTGACAACAGTTCAGTACTGTAGGATAATGACAAAAACTAGTCTCAAAATTTATTTTGATGGTCATATTTCTTGGAAAATTTTGACGAAAGCCAAGTTGTACTTACTGCATATCTTTGTAAATAATCCCTAATTTTTCGAATACCTCTTAGTTTTATTCAAGGTGTAGGACCCAAAATATCCTTCCATATTCTTCATTAGTTTCAGTTTATTTAACTAGGAATCGTAACAGGTTGTATAGTTACTGAGAAGAGAAGCTTCTCCCGACAGTAATTGTATCACATCACTAGTTGACAAAATCTAAGAAATTCAAAATATTATAATCAGTCGAGCAAATAAATATTACTGTTCAGTTTTACCATAACTAGGATAAAGGTGAGCGTTATTCAGAAGTACCTAGGTGAATGAAAAAAAACTCTCTTCAGCTCTCTAATTTCCAATTTTTTTTCGAGTGATACAAGGTTGAGGCCTTAAATTTACCGTTATTATTGCACCATAGATTGACGTAGCAAATTTAGCCAAGTAATCAAATTTATGTGAATGACGTTAGAGGAAAAATTAGCAATACTATTTTCAAAATAAATAAAACTTCCGCTTTACAAGAATAAATTCACACAACTTATCAGACCTTTAATTGAAGATATCAGTGAACAAACAAAATAAAAACTATGATTCGGTGATATATGTTCAAAGATCCTATTAAAAAATATAAGACAGAAATGGAGGAAAGGATGGCGTACAGACTTACTTGCATTAATTGGTCACCAGGCATAATACGACCATCTAAATCAGCTAAACCACCAGGGCTGATGCGTGTGATAAAGATGCCAGTGGAAGGAAAATCTCCATTTTCTACATCTTGCCACCTGCAATACTAAATCCAAGTCCGGTATTTGGACTCGGTTTACAGAGTTGAGCCTAAAATGAGGTGATGAATATAACCTTATAATTTCAGCTCAAAAATAGGTTGAAAATCAACATTATTTTCTTAAATAGTTTGTGCTTAAATTGAAGAAGCGTGAGTGTGACATAAATCTCAAATGTTTACGATCAATGAAGCTGTTTCAATAAAACAGTTGAAAAACAGTTATCGGATGAGATATCCACAACTTATTTAACTTCATTTAAACCATCTATAGAACGCATTTAGAAACTATATGTTTATACTGGCCGCTATCTTATTCGAATTGAGCAAATTGTATTGCAAAGTCATGATAAGTGGGAAAACGCAAATGATTGCCTTGAGATGAACGTCTGACAAACATAACAGAATATTTCATACTGTGAGTGCTATAATCCGCACCTATAGTTGAAAGCTACTCTATATATTTATATATCACAAGTCTATATTAGTCGAAGAGGCATTAAAAATAAGAGGCTTTTCTTTCACTACTTTGACTCCTTCAGGATGAAATTCGGCATATATGTACATTCTAGTATGCATAAAATGCTTCAAAATTTTATTGAAAATTGTAGCAGAATAGACGAAATCAAAAAATATTGCTCACAAACTACCATCGAAAACACTAGTCAGTGAAAATCAGAATTCTAAACAGTAAGGTTGATAACCTCATAGTTTAAGAATTTCTACTTCAGGTCACAACCTCGCCTGGTTAACTAGTTCACTAGTTACTAGCCGGTCCTAAGCCTGGGTAAAGAGGGAAGGTTGGGCATAGGGCTAGCAACCCTACCCCGTAAAACAAATCTAACCGCTAAACAAACTTCAAAGCACAAACAAAATATAAAAAATTGAAACAAAATTATTCCTCACTGGAATCGGAGAGGCAAAATGACGCCAGTTGGTGAAAGCTTTCCTTCGGGAAGCCAATTGGCCGATCTTTCTTCTCTTTCCTCGATGAAAGCAAAAGTAAACTTGGAGACATGGAATGCCCGCACGATGTTTGAACCCAGTAAGGCAGCCCAGATTGCAAACGAGATGAGAAGGTATCACATTGAAGTGCTTGGAATATGCGAAAGCAGATGGAATGGGAGTGGACTCTCCAAACTGTCAACTGGAGAATCAATAATCTACTCCGATGTTGTCACCCAGACGACAACCACCAGCACACTGAGGGAGTGGCTATCATGATGTCCCCAAGAGCATCGAAGGCTCTCATGCAGTGGGAACCAATCTCCTCCTCCAGCTGGTTCATGACAGCAAGGTTCAACTCAAAAAGAAGGAAGGTCACAATCATACATTGTTACGCACCCACAAATAATGCAGAGCAAGAGAAAAAGGAGGAATTCTACAGACAACTTCAATCAACACTGGACAAGACGTCAGTTGGTGATATCCAAATTCTAATGGGCGACATGAATGCCAAGCTGGGAGCAGACAACACAGGAAGAAAACTAATCAAGGGTTGAGAAGCACTCGGTGAGGTGATGAACAAGAATGGAGAATTGTTTGCAGATTTCTGTGCATTCAACGATTTGGTGATTGGAGTGGGGCAGTGTGTTCAAGCACAAGGATATCCAAAAAGCGACATGGATTTCACCAGACACCGGGACACACTAAAAATCAGATCGAGTTTATCTCAATCTGAAGAAAATGGAGACGCAGTCTACTTGACATAAGGTGAAGAAGAGGAGCAGATGTAGGTTCAGACCACTCACTGTCTAGTGCAAGGAACCTTCCAAATCAAGTTGGGAGCCTTCAAGGAAGCTGGTGATAGACCGCAGTTCAAGTACAACACTCGGAAACTGAAGGACGAAACTACAAAGGAAATCTTCACGGCAGCCATCATGACAAAATGGGAGATATCGAGGAACATCCGTGAAGAAACCTGAGTGGAAGAACACTGGAAGTCTTTGAAAAAGATGTGGAAAAAACCTGCATAACCGTATTAGGAAGGAAAAAGAAAGATAAGGAGTGGATCTCAATGGATACATGGATGCTGATAGAGGAGAGGAGGATGGTGAAGCAGAAGATAAACCAGTGCAAGGATACACAATGGCAAGAGGAACTGAGTACAATGTATAAAACACTGAACAAAGAAGTGAAGAAGAGTGAGTTGAAAGACAAAAGACACTTCTGGCAAGTGAAGCAGAACAGGCTGCAGGTAGGAGAGATAGAGACCTGACAACCTTATATCAAATAACCAGGTAACTTGCTATCTGGGAAGAGATCAACGCAGACGAAACCAATAAAAGATGATGACGGAAATTTAGTTACCAAAGAAGAGAAACAAAGGAAACAATGGGCCGACCACTTCAAGAAGTTCTTTAATCGACCACCATCTGCACTTCGTCCAGAAATACCACCTGCCAGCCGCTGAATTACAAGTGAACATAAATCCTCCAACAAAAATGGAAGTCCTGAACGCCATAAAGCTACTGAAATGCGGGAAAGCAGCAGGACCAGATGGGATCCCGCCAGAAGCACTGACAACAGATGCAGAGACAACAGCGGACATGCTCACACCACTATTGCAGAAGGTGTGGAAGGAAGAGAAGGTACCTGACGATTGGAAGAAGGGTTACCTTGTCAAACTCCCGAAGAAGGGAGACCTCAGTGTTTACAAGAACTGGCGCGGAATCACTCTCCTACCCACCCAGAGGAAGCAAAATATTAAGCCGCATCATCCTGGAGAGGCTAAAAAATGCACTGGATTCAAAACTACGACCGGAACAGGCTGGCTTCAGGAAGTACAAATCATGTGCAGACCAAATTGCAACGCTTCGCATCATCATAGAACAAAGTATAGAATGGCAGTCAATTGGATCTTCAACTCAACTTCATCGACTTTGAGAAGGCCTTTGACAGCGTCGACCGAGAGGTAATTTGGAAACTGCTTCAATACCACGGAATACCACAAACCTTTATCAGCCTCATTCAACAACTATATGAAGATGCCACATGCCGAGTAATTCACAATGGGACGCTTAGTGATGCTTTTGAAGTGAAGACAGGAGTGAAACAAGGTTGCCTACTATCACCCATGATATTCCTGATTGTGGTCGACTGGATCATGCAACAAACAGTGGGGAGAGAGAAGAGGGGGAAAGGCTGGACCGCGGAAAAGAACCTAGAAGATCTGGATTTCGCCGATGACTTGTGTCTGAAGTCGCACAAACTTGAAGATCTACAGGCGAAAACTAACAAGTTGGCAGAAGAGGCAGGGCAGCGAAGACAGGACTCCAAGTGAGTATAGAGAAGACAGAGGTGATGAAGATACCGCATCACCAACAACAACAAACTCCAAACACCATCAACGGGAGAAACTTAAAGGAAGTAACCTCCTTCACCTATCTAGGCAGCACTGTTTCAACTACAGGCGGCACTGACGAGGACGTCAAAGTCAGAATCGGAAAAGCAAGACAGGCGTTCATTAGCCTGAAACCAGTGTGGAGATCTTCTGCACTCAGCATGTGGAACAAGATCCGGATTTTCAACACCAACGTCAAGTCAGTGCTTCTGTATGGCTCAGAGACTTGGCGCGTCACGAAACGTATTTCCAACAAACTACAGACATTCATCAACAACTGCCTACGCTCGTTACTGAAGATCAGATGGCCAGAAAGAATAAGCAACAAGGAACTCTGGCAACGAACCAACCAAGAACCTATCACCCAACAAATATGCAGAAGGAAGTGGAGATGGATTGGGCATGCACTGAGAAGGCCGACGGGGGACATCACGCGTCAGGCCCTCGAGTGGAATCCCCATGAGAAGCGACTAGTTGGACGTTTGAGGGTGACATGGAAGAGATCGTGCGAGGAGGAAATGAGAGCTTGTGGGCTGTCGTGGAGTCAGGTTCAAAAGATTTCAGAGAACAGAGCGCATTGGAGACGTGCTAGTGAAGCCCTATGTTCCATTAGGAACCCAAGGGACAAATAATAATAATAATAATAATAATAATAATAATATTAATACTTCAGGTGACAATGGTCTTAATTATATGTTAGCAATAAATTCACTCATAGAATGAGACACTTGACTGATACTACCTAACATTTCACTAGGCATAGAACTGTCATTTTGAAAAAAGAACTTCAAAACTCCTCTTGTCACCCTTTCATAAAATTACTCAACTTAATGTTCCTGATGAAATATTTTTAGCAAGTGATAATGACGTTATTCATGTATCCAAATTGCTGATAAACTTGTTTTTTCTGGAGCCTATTATGTGTCAATATAAGAAGAATAAATTTATTGGATGAAGTGTTTGAAAAACGCTGATTACACCTTCGCTAAGCGTTGAATATCCCTCATACTCACATAATCATTTTAAATGTAATCAGAATAGGTCGTCATTGAGATACGTTTTATTTGTTGAAGAATTTCACTAATGAGAGAAAGTTTGACTTCTTCGACTTATTAATTAACAAGTTTTACAACCAGAGTCAGAGTACTCAATTTCTTGGTAGGCTTGACTTGACTAGTAGATATCAAAACTATGATTTAATTGTGATATTTATGGAATGAGATTTCAAAGTACTATGTGTAATAGATATAACATACAATGGGTTTATTCGAATTAACTACAAGAGTTCACCAAGAAGCTTGATATCTATTTATCACATATTCAAGCTGAAAACGCCAGAGTAACGATAACTGTTTTCAGGTGAAGTTGCTCTCTAAACTGATTATTGATTAAATGGTGAAATAAAACAATGTTTACCAGCCCTTTTATCTAAACAAAAAAATTATTCCCGAAAATAGTAAATGTTTACATAACTTTATAAATCTTAAAACACTAGTTTCTAAATAAAAGAATGCTAAGATTGTAACACGGCATTCATTGATATTAGCAACATATAAAGTTGATTGGAACATTAAAACATGTGGCCTGAGCAAAAATGTGAAAAATTTCTTGAACACCTAATTAAGCTTTCTTGTTAACGTTATAATTAGACTTTTTCAGAGATGAATTCTCATGACAAGACTTGACAAAGCTTAATCAGTTTCCCTCTGACCTGTAAAACTCAAAGCTCCATTGAAATGTTTTTTTTTTCAGTTACACTGATCAGTAAGCACTCGGTAGGTTACCGAAAATCTCCAAAAAGCTTAAAAGGGAACGCTGACTTTAAAGCATTCAACATTTACTCTTGATAATTCATAGATGTTAGATATAACTGTACTTCGACAAACGGACACAGAATGACAATTTGCAGCAGAAAAGTATTTGCAAACAATAACTTCCTGATTTTAAGTAAATAAGGTTAGAATGGAAAGATGTCCATGGCGAACAATTACCGCGAGACAAATTTTCAAGCCACTTTGAAAAGTGTGTCTAACACTACTATTATACAAATTCTTGAAATCACTTTTAATGTAAGAAAATCCGTTTTCATAAAGCGGTGTTCATTACCAAAAAGTAAATATTGTTTTCCCCTCCCATTTTTTTTGTTTTGATGACAAAGACTATACTTTTTAAAAGTTGCTTCTACATCCATATATATTAGCCATCTTCTAAAAGGCTAGGTAAACTACTAATTTGTACATCTTCTCACGTTGGAATTTATCATGAACTGACATCAGTTAGAGGAACATTGAAAGCCTGGAAGCACTAGACTGTCAGTCCACGATGAATTGCAACCTGAAATCAATTGATAAGTCCCCACAAGCTCCCAGATTGAATAGATCTAGAGTTCACTGGTGACTAGCTTCGAGGGGTGATTCCGAAGTTCCAATGAAAAGTCATGACCAATCGAGTCAACTAAGTCAAACATAAGGACAGTTACTCAGCGATGACATTGGATGTAGGTCGCGTTATATCATGAACTGACAGAAGTTGGAAATATAGATCACTGGATCCCTAACTAGTAGTTCAATGGTAACGTCCTGGCCGTGAAATCCGAAGGTCCTGAGTTCGATTCCTGGCGGGGTCATGGGTGCGGACTGCCAAAGAATCCCTTACTAGGACGAACCAGCTGTCCAGTTCTCCCAGATTTCTAATGTTCCTCCAACTGATGTCTATCCATGAATAATTCCAACCTGAAATCAGTTACTAAATCTCCACAAACTTCCAGATCGTACATGTTCTGTTAAAATCACTTTCATGATGACCAGGAAAAAGAAGATGAAATTATAGCAATTTAAATTCACATAAACTTTTCATTCATGACTTACTTCATACCATATAGGAGTTGAACCGCTATCTTCCATATCAGACAGAACTTCAGGTGACTGTAATGGTGAAGATTGTTGTGGAAACGCTGCGTTAGACGCTGTTACTGTAGTATTCCCAACAAATCGGCGCACTACCTAAGAACAGAAATTGAAGAGAATAACTGTGTATAAACACGAAAGGATAAAGATGTATTAAAGTTTCCTATAAAATAGGAGAATTTTTTATTGGTAATAGATCTATTAAGCCCATATTACAAAATCCCGGTAAAAGGAAATTTTGTCTTATTTCCCATTTATTCAAAAACGGTCATACCAGAGAAATGTATCTAATTCATCCAATAATCATAATTATTTATTGTAATTTTAAAATGCTTGCAACTGATTAAAGGTCACAACGTGAAATGGATTCATTGTGTCCAGCGAATCTTTCTGTTTTTATCTAGTTTAAATTCATCAACGAAGTAAAATACACAAAAAGGTGAAACTCTGAAAATAAAATGAACTGCAGAGTTTACACTCATTCTTTACATACTAGTGCATATTAGTTGTATGCATAGCTGGAAAGAAAAACATTTCGCCTATGGTGTTATAGATCAGTGGAAAAAGTTCACGTTGTAGAAAATAGTCATGGTTTTTTGAAATGAAACAAAAGTTGTTTTGAAAGTATCTTTGGTCATTGCACAAAGATAAAGATAACTGGGACAAATTAAAAAAACTTCATATTTGAGACAACAATGTTTAATCCACTGAAGATTCAATTTTTTAATAAGAAATTTGCATTTCTAAAAATAAGATTTCACTAAAGAAAATTCTGTTTACTGCGTTTTCACTTTCACAACTGTACATTCGTATTTTTGAGTGAGGAAAGGTAGACAATTAATACGACATAATATACTAAAGCAATTACACATCCACAAAAACGAAATCGTTGTTAACAGAAGCTTAATCTCCGACATCAGTATTTCACTTCTCATAGGGAATTATTATTTCACCAAGCAAAATGTAAAATGGAAGTATAAACATAGAAATTTCATGACTGATGTGGTATCGTGCCACAGTGGCCTAGTAAGTAACGCTTTGGCGTTTGAAGCGATGGGTAATAGGTTCGATTCTCAGTGGGGACCACATCACTCACTAGGGTGTAGGTACATTTAGCTGACAAGTCCATGATAGGACGAAACCCGCGTCCTGGATTTTTATTACCGGTTAGCGAGGTGAATACAAAATTTATGCTTATTCGTAGGCTTAAAATAATGTTTGTCACTGCTGATATAAGTCTCACCTAAGCAGGGAGTGACATAATGTCAAAATGATTTATACATTCTCTTCTTTAGACAAAATAAAAACAATGGGCAAACTTTAAAAGGTAATATAAAAATTCAAATCTCCATTACTGTTATATTTTAGGTTATTTAGGTAACCACCAATCTTGGAAACTAATTTCGCTGATTACTAATGACAAGAACAAGAACAGTGATAACTTTCATTACATTGCGAACAGTTTGTGTGAATGACCAAAGATGAAAAATGATGATTTACGGGGTGAAGAAGTTTGATAAGTCCATTCCAGCTAGCTTAGAAAATATTTCAAGGTGACAATCCTAACCCAAACAATATAATCCTGTCGAATAATTGGATTTTCATGAAGTGTCTTTGATGTACCAGCCTTATTCAATTTGTGATGCACACCCATTGATCACTTACTGGGTGTCACCAGAGGATATTGTCTCATCCACTATAAACGACTGAGATGTTACTATTTATTATTTTGGAATGATTTTGAGTTATTGCTGAATGTTTTTGGTTCAAAGTGTAATAATAAAACCATTGAGTTGTTATTTTACAAAAAATTAAGGAAAGGCTACTTTTCATCCTAGAGAACTTTGAGTCTTTTCTTGTGACTATATTAGAATAGTCCTTCAGAATTTTTCATTCTTTGATAAAATGTCATGGAAAAGCAGTTTCTTCAAAATTATTAGCCCATTATTTGATTCTAACTTTCTGTTACCCTCAGACATATTAAATGTTCTGTCAACATTTGAGAAGGAGAAGGTAAGAGGTACTATGAACTCTTTATAGCTAACAAAACCTGAATAGAACAAATTTTACTACATTTACTATTCCTAAACAATTACACATAAAACAAGAAAGTGTTTAGCCATTAACAAAACTTACTAGGTGTAATTGATTCCCAGCTTGCCTTAATGTTCTTACAGCTTCCATATTTGTGACATGTTCTAAACTGATATCATTCACGGAGAGAATTTGGTCATCAACCCTTAAAGAATAAATGAAAACAAAATGATTGACGATTGTTTTAAGTTTTAGGTAATATGTAAAGCGAAAATTAATTGTATTCTAGACGAACCAAAAGTAATGAATTCAGCCTACTGTCGTTCTTAATAAATGGAGGAAAGGATGAAAAAGAGACTCACAGTAATCATGTCTGTTGCTTGTTTGTATCTAGGAGTAAGGTGAACACATGAACTCCAAATGAAATCTTTCAGCAGGTTAGTCAAATAACTGCTACCGACGAAATGGGGAATGAATGTTTTCTTATCCAACTGGATATGGTATATGAATCATCTATGAGGTAGTAATTAGTGTCATACTAGATTACTGATTGCAAATTGGAGTCTTTTATTTGACCATTACTCAGATGAAAGTTTTGCCGGGAACTCTTCGTCAAGATTAGTTTCTTGCGTCATATTTTAGTTATATGTGGAGTGAAGTTTCATACTGCAAATTGTTGACTTAAGCAACTGGTTTATTTTGTCTTGCCTCCAAGAAACCATCATACTGTGCTACAACAAATTCGAAAACCTTTTGGAGGAACATTGGAAACTTAGGAGAACTAAACAGCTGTTTCGTCCGAGTAAGGGACTCCTCAACACTGCGCACCCATAACCGCGCTAGGGATCGATTCCGATGTCAATCCATGATGAATACCAACTTTAAAAATTACCAAGTCCCTACAACCCCCCCCCTCTGAATTAAAACTCATCTAGTACTCATGCAGACTAGCTCCGAGAGGCGATTCCTGAAGTTTCAATCAGAAGTCGTGACCGGTGGGGCAAATATGGTGGTCGTGAGGGCAAATACTCAACGGTGACACTAAGTGATAGTCACGCTCTGTCATGAATTGGCAGAAGTTGGAAATATGAACCACAGAATTTTGGCCCAGTGGCTCAATGGTAACATGTTGATCACAGAGCGTAGAGGTCACGGGTTCGATTCCTGGAGGGGTCATGGGTGCACATTGCTGAGGAGTCTCGTGCTAGGATGAAACAGCTGTCCAGTTCTCCCAGGTTTCTAATTTTTCCCAAACTGATGGCAGTCCATGACGAATACCAACTTAAAAAATCACTAAATCCCCACAAACTCTCAAATTAGTTCGAAAACGCCGATTAACATGGATTACTAATTTTGCTAGGCAAAAGTGAATTCTGTAGAGTTTATATCTGTTGTTGATTGTCCGAAAAGTAGGTGAAACACATAACAGTCTTTCCCGGCTCCTTTTTGGCGGAATGAAACTATTTAAGAATACTGACGGCCCGAAACGTTTTACTATCCCAGGATATTTAATCAGCCTTGTACCAATTTCAAGTTTGAATTAAGCGTAATGAAGCTATGGTAGCAGCCAAAAACAATTAGGCAAACATTTTACTTGAATTTTGTGTGAGACAAGATTAAAGTGCATCGATGAGGTAGTACCATTTTCCACCAAATTAAACCTTAAATCACTGGTCCAGTCATATATCGTCAAATCATCTAGCTGTCTTCATTGTGGTATACATTTAGTCCTTTTTATCACTATCAATTACTTCAGCATTAATATGCATTCATCTAGAAAACGAAAAAGCTTTAATGCTGAAAAAGCCTGAAGGATATACGGAAATTTGAAGGTATCGGTGGATGAGTAAATCTCAAATAAGTTAACTTTCTCGATTAAACCTAATCTGTCAAACAGTACTGGAGAACATAGACAAGTGAAAAAGCAGTCTGAATACACATTTTAAATACGCTGATAAAATTATTGTAAGTGACTAATAAAATAAACATTTGTTCAGATAAACTACTAAAATGGTTTTCAATTCTACTTTACTCAGTTTTTTGAGGTGGAAATGTTGTTTCGCATGGTAATCTAGGACTTTAGGCATAACTAGCTAGTTCAAAAATCTGAAATTCTTAAACTTCTATAAAGCCAACTTACCTCAGTCTACCATCTCTATCTGCACATCCATTCGGTGCAATTCTGGTCACATATATACCATGATCTACATCTGAAACTGGATTATCGATGCCTCCTGCAATACTGAAACCAAATCCACCGACTGCAGATGAATCACGTTTGAGAACGATATCCAGGTATTCCCACTCAGCTTTAGCTGATATGTGATCTGAAAATTTACAATCAATACAGTAGGTAGATTTCTATATCATTTATATGTACGCATTCATTACAACGGATAGATAACAGAGCAAGTTATCATATGCAATACTCATCAAATTTTAACCAAGGAAGTGTCCTGTTCTTTTTATTTTCACCGATTACCAAATCCCATCCCGTGGTTGTTTGTATTTGATTTGTGTACTTAAAGGCAGCAGGTTAAAATTGCTGGGTTTTGGTGATTGTAGCTTTGTTAGAAAATTGAAGAAATGTACACATCTTGATGTGTCCAATTGAACTTCTTTCCCACTGTCAGATTCACATGTTGATGTCGAATGGTTTTGGACAGGATGAAGTTTCAGTCTGTGATGTTTACACACATAAAGTGTAGTGAAAGTAAGGTTTTTTCGAATGTACAGATTCTTATCGTTAAAAGTGTTCATCACATATATGCATTCACCTTAAACATTGTAATATAACACTTAATAGTTAGTAGTTAAATGTGTTCATATGTTACCAAACCATTGCGCACTTGTTATTTTCTAGTTTAAAATGCAGTTGCCAAAACGTCTGCAGTGTATTTACAATTTTCTTTGAAGTAGAGAATAAGCATTCATCTTTAAACGACGTCAGCTTACTTTTGGAAGCGGTACACTGAAACTAGATCACTTCATATAATGGAGAGACTTTAAAGGCCATCCTAGCAACTTCTGAGATACCCAATTAGGGTCCCGTATCTTATGGAGAACTACCTATCCGGTCAGAATACCAAAACCTGATTGGTTATCTTAGCAGTTACTAGGGTAGCCTTTAAAGTCGCCCCACATATTGTATTTTATATGTGTTTTTATTGTGGTCAAACTACTTTCAGCCAATCGGCGAGATGGTCATTTAGTGTTGGCTAATAGTTAGAATTCACATGGATCAACAATTAGCATCTAAGATCTAGTGAAAATTTATGAATATCAAATACAATTTGTTCATCAAATTAAATGATACGACAACAGGGAAAATAATCTCTGAGTTCCTAAAGAGAATTTGTTCAGTAGATGAAAATTTTGCATTCAATGACTTTATATCACCTGAGATTAAACAAAATATTTTGAGTTTCCAAGGTTTTCCACCGTTAGCAAAGGAAAAAGAATTTTGGGACAATATGAGCAAGGACAGAATATATATTACTCTTAAAGGAATACACTTCACACACACACAAAATAAAAAAGAAAAACCGTCAAAAACTCTTGCTTAGGATATTTTACTTTTTAAAACCATTTTAACATTTCAGATATTGTAAAAAGTACGACTGAGTGTTGATAAAATGATTTTCAATATTAATCATAAATGAGATGGAATCTGCTTGAATTCTGTTGATGAACATTTCAGAATCACTAACTATTTGTTGATAAAGTTGTAATTCTCTGCGGTTATACTGGATCAAGTATTACAAGTATATCAACAAATAGTTATAATTAATACCAGTTGTACAAGAGATGACTATCGTACATTAGTGATTTAGTGGATAGAGCTTTGTAGTTTGAAGCGATGAGTACAAGGTTCGAGTTTCAGTGGGCAGAACATCACTCACTGGGCTACAGGTTCATCTAGCTGACTAGTCCCAGACAGATCGAAACACGCATCCTAATTTCCTCTGCTAGCCACAACCAAGTAAATTTCAGAATCTGTTCACTTTTTGCAAGTAATAACTCCGAATACCAATAAAATTCAAATATAACGTTTTCAGAATTCAAATATGTTCTCTGGAATATTGAAAACGATTGAATCAGCGGTGATTTAGAAATCTGATTTATTAAGGGAAAAGGAATCAGAAAATAAGTGACGTTCACACGCTAAATACAGTAATCAGTACACGCTAATCACTAAACTCACTTGAACTACCAAAATTTAAGATAACGTTTTCTTCCAAGTGTTTTATCAACTTCTTAAATACACAGAAATGGATCATCTTAAAAGAAATGCGCTTGGAAACCTACAAGTCACTTAGTAAACATATCACAGTCGATCACTTCATTAGTGTATTTTATATCCAATAATTTTGTCATTGAACATCATTATGTATCCACTGTCAACAGTGTGCATATTTTCTTTATGTGTACTTAACTAAAGGCTATGCTTATTCATAAGGTATTCGGGTATCCTTTTCTCAAACCGATGTATAATAAAGAACAGTTTAAATATTTCTGAAATGAGCAGTACTTCTCAGGGTATTGAAAATGTACAACTGCAGTTACTATATACACTTTGTGCAAGCAAATGATATCATTCAGTAACTACTTTAAGAATTCAGTTGTCTAAAATTAAAATTTTTTTTCATAAATATAATCAAGATTGAGAAATGAAGAACAGAATTATATCAAAAGATGTGATCAATAATCTTCAAAAAATAGAAACTAGAAAAAGAATTATTGATTTCTGTTCTTATAGACTACCAGGTGACAAATATTAATTTCAATCACTAGTAATTAGCATGTCTCTGCTATTAAATTAATTTAGTTGTAAGGTGTCAATTTCAAACTGAAAATGTACTTAGAATCAAATAATTATTTAGCTTCTCATTTATGAATATACCTATTGAGTAATAAAGAAATAAAGACTTCAGGAAATAAATTTGTTTTCAGTAATTACATTCTGGGAAGCTGTACAGTGTATATATTTATTGGCAAATATGTCAACATTGTTGCAAGGGAAATAGTAATAATATAGGAATAGAAATGACTTCAGAAATATGATCGAGTTGTCAGTCGAAATCATGAACTGAAGAATTCATATCAGAGTGGTGCAGCAGAAAAGGTGTTAAAATCCACCAGACTAACTAGATGTGTCTAAAAAAACGTTCTGTGGAGGCAATATGCAAATCACCTATACTAATCGGTTAGTAATAAACAAGTGCATGAAGATAAACTATTACTGTTAGCCACTTCAGTGTGTACACATCAATCCACCTGCAGCTGTGTAGGTAGGTACATAGGCTATTATTTTATTATTACTATTTGTGCTTTGGGTTCCTAGTGGAACATAGGGCTTCAGTAGCACATCTCCATTGCACTCTCTTCTCTGCAGTCTTTTGAACCTGCCTTCACAACTACCCAGAAGCCTTCATTTCTTCCTCACAAGATCTCCTCCATGTCCACCTCAGACGCCCTCGGCCTGCAGCGTGATGTCACCAAATGGTCTTCTCATTGCATATTTGTTCGGCTATATGCTCTTGGTTGGTTCGTTGCCGGAGTGAGTTCCTTGTTGCTTATTCTCTCTGGCCATTTGATCGTCTTCAGTATCGAGTGAGCGTAGACGGCAGCTGTTGATGTGTGTCTGCAGTTTGTCGGAAATGATTAAAGCAATGAGCAAAGTCTCTCAACCACAAAGAAGCACTGACTTGACATTGGTGTTGAAATCCGGATCTTGTTCTTTATGCTGAGTGCAGTAGATCTCCACACTGATTTCAGGTTAATGAACGCCTGTCTTGCTGTCTTTCCTATCCTGGCTTTGACGTCTTTGTAGGTGACACCTGTAGTTGAAACGATGCTACCTAGGTAGATGAAAGAAACTGCTTCCTTTAGGTTTCTCCCGTTCATGGTGATTGATGCTTGTTGTTGGTTGGTTACCTTCATCACCTCTGTCTTCTCTACGTTCACTTGAAGTCCCGTCTTCGCTGCTCTACCTCTTCAGTCAACTTGTTAGTTTTCGCCTGTAGGTCTTCGAGTTTCTGCGACACTAGACACAAGTCATCGGCGAAATCCAAATCCAGTCCAGCGTATTCCCCTCTTCTCACTCCTCACGGCTTGGTGAATGATCCAGTCGACCACAATCAGGAAGATCATGAGTGATAGTAGGCGACAACCTTGTTTTACTCCTGTCTTCACTTCAAAAGCATCACTGAGGTTTCCATTTTGAATCACTCTGCTGGCTTGTAGCCTCATCATATAGCATATAGCTGTTGTCGAGTGAGGTTGATAAAGGTTTGTGGCACTAAAACTGTGGTGTTGAAGCAGCTTCCTGCCAAATTACCTCCTGGTCGACGCTGTCGAAGGCCTTCTCAAAGTCGATGAATTTGAGGTAGAGAGTTGACTGCCATCCCATGCTCTGTTCTATGATGATGCGTCACGTAGCGTTGCAATTTGGTCCGCACATGATTTGTACTTCCTGAAGCCAGCCAGCCAGCCTGTTCCTGTCGTAATTTTGAGTCTAGCCCATCCTTTAGTCTCTCCAGGATGATGCGGCTTAATATTTTACTTGGGGTGGACAGCAGCATGATTCCGCGCCAGTTCTTGCAAGCACTTAGGTAGCCCTTCTTCCAGTCACCAGGTACCTTTTCTTCCTTCCAGACCTTCTGGAGTAGTGGTAAGAGCATGTTCACTGTTGTCTCTGCGTCTGTTCTCAGTGCCTCTGGAGGAATTCCATCTGATCCTGCTGCTTTCCCGGATTTCGCTAACTTTATGGCGTTCAGGACTACACTTCATCTTTTGTCGGAGGGTTTTGTTCACTGGTAATTCTGTGGTTGCTAATGGTATTTCTGAACTAGTTGTAGGTAGTGGTGGTGTTGGTGGTCGATTCAAGAGCTTTTTGAGGTGGTCAGCCCATCGTTTTTTTGTTTCTCCTCATTGCTAACTAGGTTTCCTTCACTAGCTTTCATTGGTTTCATCTGTGTTGATCTCTTCACCCCCCTGAGAGTAACCTGGTTATTTGATATAATTTTGTCAGGTCTCTTCTACCTGCAGCCTGTTCTGCTTCACTTGCCAGTGTGTCGTGGAAGTGTTTCTTGTCTTTGCGCGCACTCTCCTTCACTTCTTGGTCCAGTGTTTTATACGTTGTACTCAGTTCCTCTTCTCATCGTTCATCCATGCACTGGTTAATCTTCTGCTTCACCATCCTCCATGTGTCCATCGACATCCATTCCTTATCTTCATCCATACAGATTTCTTCAGGAATGTTACTTGATATCTCCCATTTTGTCCTGATGCTGGCGTAAAGATGTCCTTTGTAGTTTCGTCCTTC